CTGCTGCGAGAGAGGAAATACCCCGATTATCGCCAATTAAGAAGAATAAAAGAGGCCAGGTAAATAAATAAATACTTATTATATGTGCTTTAAAACGTATATTATATTTACCAGTCAATAATTTAAATTTTATTTATAATTTCAGGTGGTGCATCAAAATCAAAAAGTAATTGTAGTAAACTTATATAAGAAATTAAAAAAAGACAATCCACAAATGTCTTACAAAGAGACGATTTTAGAGTTAACGAGACAAACGGGCATTGGAAAAAATACAGTGAAAAATATTTTAGCGGAGTATAATAGACTCGGTCAGGTAAAAGAACCAAATTTAAAAAAGCTCGCCTCTCTTTTAAAGAAAAGATCAATGAATTTGATAAGAATGCTATAAGGAGAAAAGTGCACGAATTCTATCGAAATAAGGAACTACCGACATTGAACAAAATTATGCAAGCAGTAAATGAGGACGAAGACTTACCACAATTCAAGCGATCAACATTTCACAAATTATTGCATGAATTGAATTTTGTTTTTGTTAAACGACAACGAAACAGTTTCCTTACTGAGAAAGAGGACCTTATAATGTGGCGCAGAGATTACCTGCAAGCCATAAAAAGATACCGCGAAGAAGGTCGCTCTATTTATTACCTGGATGAAACCTGGGTTAACGCAGGGGATGTACGTGAGAAGATTTGGATAGACACGACGATTAAATCGCACAGGGATGCGTTTCTCAGAGGCTTGTCAACGGGACCTGCTAATCCCAGTGGTAAAGGCAAACGCCTAATCGTATTGCATATTAGCAGCGCTGCTGGATTCGTTCCTGGTGGCTTGCTATGTATTCAGTCTCAAAAAAATACAGCAGATTATCATGACGAAATGAACGGAGACACATTTTTAGAATGGTTCCAAAAGGTTTTACCGATGTTGGATGATAATTGCGTAATTATAATACATCTTTCAAATTACCAGAGGTGAAGAGATTGCTTCAAGAAGGCGTTGCGCGAGTAACAGCCGAACATTGGAACAATTTAATTAGACACTCGGTATCGGAAGAACACAAATTTTGGGAAATTGACAACGTCGTTGACAGAATAATAGATGAAGTACGACCCATAATTATTAATGTGAACGGTGAATGTGATTCTGATAGCAGCGGTACAGACTAATTTTTTATGTTTTAAATAATAAAATGTTTTTTTAATTAATATTTTTACCTTTTCAATAATAAATGACTTATTTTAAACATATTTATAGTTTATTTTACATGACGCTGATAAATTTATTACGCCTAATTAACCTACTACACTGAAGAAGCGCCTACGGCTAAGATTTAATGTAAAACGGTCCTGTGTAGCTCGCTATAGACTTCTTCCACTCTAATCGCCAATGCGCGAAGCAAGTCCATTCTCTCGTTGGACAAGGTTTATAATAGACACGAATTTCTCGACCCTGGATGACCACAACACTCCTATTTTCTACATCTTGTAATTAACTTCTCTATTCCGCTCAAAAATACTTGATTTAAGATTTGAAACGGACTCATCATTACTCACCGAACGACTGCCATGAGAAGATTTTGAACTACATAAAACGCCTTCAGCACTATCACCAAGTGAGTCCCTGCTCTCCTTTCTTTGGTGCCGCCTTTGCTCGGAAAATTCGCTCATGGTCGCAATTTTCACAATTCAAATTTTTACAAACTAATAAATGCGTAAAGTAGTCCTACTTCTGATGTTAGATTTCCTATGATTATTGGAATTTTAATTAAACAGAATTAATAAAACAGATACAATTGTCATTGACCTAGATTAGCTGAACTATACTCTCAGTACATACTACGCTAGAGGCGCGTATGTAAAGAAATACTGTTTGTTTTCACTCTTTCTTATCCAGCCACTTTAGCAGCAATTAGGTGCTAGGCATATTAACCAAAAATAAATAAAGCAACAGCAAAATTAAATCGTTAATAGTTTGAATTTGAGCAGAATCTAACCCTTTTCGGAATGCTTACAAAGGGGGCCAATGGAGGTTATTCTCCGCTGTTCTATCGACCTGACACTTGGTATGATATGATAGGATGGTAAAGGCGAGTTATGTAGTTAACTAAAATCCATTGCATTTTATTTTTTAGATTTAGAATAATTTCATAAGTAGTATATTATGTATTCATTAGACTCTTATCAAAGGGACCCTTGCCCTCGAAACTATAAACATATAGAAGCCGACATCGAACCCATTTTGAATGAATGAATTATTTATTATATTGTTTTTAAGAAACATTTCTCTTCTATACTTCGCGGTCGAAATTATAGAGAGTGACTCAGACATAATATAAAAACACTATTACCATGAAACGTGTAAAATATAAAATTATTTTTACAACGGTTCAATATTATTTGTCTTAAATTAAATGATGTTCCACTCTCTGTGCTGATACGATTTATAATCGTCTATAAACTGAGTTACACTGAACGTCGATCTATCTTCTATCTCTGTCTATGCTTTTTAGTGGGTGTAAACGGACGTACGTAGTACTTGATTTAGCTGTCGTTAGAAATGCCATTGTATAAGCATACGTGAGAGGTCAAATTCCGTAGCTATATTAAATTTATAAATTTAAAAAATATAACCGGGAGGTTTTAAAACGTACTAATAATAAAAATGGATCAAACTTATGTTGCTCATAAAAATAATAGATGTTATATTTATTAGATACGCCCATGGATTTTCGATCTTCGCACGCTTCATCCTCCTTACTAGTCTAAAAGCTAGCGATGAGTCACTCTATAATTTCGACTGCGAAGTATAAGGAACCATCACTAATCTAGGCTACAACGTCCCATCGCTGTCTACTCAGCCGACCGGCGTGGCACGTTCCCCATGGAGCGTCGAGTTAACGAGAGTTAGGGGGTAATTTGCGTATTGTAGGTCGGGAAAACATGATTTTCTGTTTTTCCGAATACGTGGTTAAAATTAATGACATTATGACTGAAACACCCTGTATAAACATTGTTTGTGCTTTGTACTGTACTTCTAGTAAAGTTCGTCTCATCAGTGAATGGAAAACGCACAAGTGTGTGCGTTGTATTTTTGCCAACCGTCTGATAAAGTAACAAAACTGGCGACGAGGATGGGATATCCTACCGTGAGGCACTGAAGAAATTTGTGTTATTCGCGAATGGTCTCAACTGCAAAGCAGGAAATACCTACCTGAAGTATTGGTTCTGGAAATTGACCGGACAATTCAGACATCAAGGCAGAATAAAAAGGGCACGAAGACAACTGAAAAAAAAGTACTAAGTTTCCTTCTCCACTCCGATTATCCCCTGAAACCTTTAAATTTCGGCATAGATCGGTTTACGGCCTTTAGAAGATTAGTTTTAAGAAAATTTTTATTATTAAATTTTGATTAATTTTATTTAATAATTTTCAATAATATTTTGTATGTCTGAAATAGATCAGAACTGTAATATTAATAACATTGATTTAAATTTATTGCCTAACGTACCAGATTCCGACGAGGAATTAGAAAATAATTTTGTTCATCAAAGTACAGTGGCAGATAATTATCAATTAGTTAAATTATACGTAGATACAATCCCAACTTCTGATGGAAATCCTTTCGGCTTACAGTGATTTATTTTAAGCAGTGGCGGCTCGTCAGGTGATGCCAGTTACGCACCGCTTCACCTAAAATTTCCGTTTGGTTGTGCAATTTAAAATTATTTTTAATTTTATATAAATTTTATAATTTAGGTATAATTCTATATTTGTTTGTTCTGTGTTTGTTTGTTTAACACGCAGAAATAAACAGAATAGTTGCGCGGTGAACGCCTTCTAAAAAAACATTGCCTTCATTGAGAGCGAACATCAACCTCGTACCATACAACGTATAGTATACGGCGCATGTGACGCAGATTAAAATCAGTCTGTATTCTGCTTCTCTTCGTAGCGTTGTTTACGGCGGCTGTCATGGCAACGAGGCGGCCAACGCGAGATTAAACTACGGCGTGGGGGAACGGCAGAAATTGAAGCAGCATCGCCCATCGCCTACCTTTAACCTTTAACAGTTTATACGATACATGTCGCCCAGTGCACGATTATAACGGTTCTTAGTTAATATTTGTTTTCTATAATAATCGTAGAAATGTTTCCTATGTATAATCCAGTATGTATTTTATTGGAAACGCCATTTTCCAGATGGAAAATTGAGGATAAAAAGGATTTTTTTCAATGTGGGTAAGTGTGACCTGTGCCATATTCTCTCGATATGGAAATAAGGGGAAGTGAAAAGACAACGTGTACGTTCGAAAATTTCGGAATGAATGGTATTCGGAGTATAAGTGGTTGTGTGGAAGTGTTCATTTTAAAAAACTTTTCTGTATGCCGTGTTTAATTGTGGGTGTAAAGTCGAGCGTGTGGAATAAGAAGAGATTTAACAATTTTGGAAACGGCACGCGAGGCTGAGGAAAGTTTGCTTTTTACAAAGTCCAGCGTAAGATCGGCTGTAGTTGTTTCCTTATATAACATCATATTTTTCTCTCATTGTCAGTAATAAGTGACACTATCATTTTCATCTAGATTACTTTCAATGTCTTCCAATTATCTTATTAAACCATCAAATTTCGTGAAATGATCACATTTTAACGATAACAGTTTTTTTCGAATATATCATGTACTCTTCCTTTCAAAAATATTATTTAAAACTTTTATCATATACGCCGTTTTAGTCTTCTGTTACGCACTGAACTATAACTGATTTTGCTCTAGCATCATTTTTTAAGCGTTATTTTTAGCTTCTCCACCCATTGATTCGGTTACTTCATTTTCTACTAAACTTCTCACACCTTTTTCATCTAGTAAACATTCTACTCTAAAAAATTATATGTTCTGTCACATCCTCATAATGCGCTGAACGATTTGAATGAAATTTACTACAGCGTAGGTATTCACTTTATTAGACCTTTTATTGAATGTAATATTAACCTCGTGGCAGTAACCAGTGCTACTAAATGGCCCGCTCTGTTCTCCTAAGAAAAGAAATACGCCACTGGTTACGTTAAATAAATGAAAAATGTTTCTTGATGTTTTTTAATAGTGGCAGCTGTTTAGGAGATAATTTACTTATTTGTAAAGTGCGGTGAGTTGACTATTGCCCACGAAAGCGGAATAGACAACCGCACGAATTGCACATACTATTTTTTATTACGAATGCGGTGAAAATTTGCGATCCAGGGGCGAAGCCCCGGTGGGGTCCACAGATTTTTATTCAGTTTAGGTAAATAACCACCAACTGTCATTTAAATGTCACTTTTTAAAATAGTATATTGTGCAATAAGTGCGGTAAGTCCGCTCAAGTGGGCAATAGACAACCGCACGAATTACACATACAATTTTTTATTACGAATGCAATGAAAACTTAGAGTCCAGGGGCGAAGCCCCGGTGGAGTCCACATATTGTTATTTAATTTAAGTGACATCAATAACTCATTTAAACGCCACTTTTTAAAAATAATATTTGCGAGTGTGTATTTAAATTCTGCGTGTTTCGGGCGACAAGTGTGATTACCGCACGCAAATAAATAAAGTAGGCAAACAGCTATTTACCGACCGAAACAAGTGAAAAGATAAGACTTATCCCCCATTAGTAATAAAAAATATATTTTTTAGATCCAATGGTTTAGAAGTAAGCCACACAGAAGAAGTAGAATGTACAGAGAGTGTTGCTACCGACGCTTTTCCTTCCAATTTAGTTATGGTCAAAACTGCTTCTGGAAAAAATGTATTATTAAAAGTAGTGCCACAGACTAGTAATGTAAGTAGTCTTATACGAAAGATATTTTTTCTATGTAAAAAATTCAAAACAAATTAAACAAACTCTTGTGCCAAAATTAAATTTCTTTCACAGGGGACAAAATACCCAATTCACAGTAAAAAAAAAAATGATACTTTCAAAGTTTTAAAGAAATTATAATCATGATAGCTTTGTTCCTAGCGTAGTTATACATTTTAGATACAGGGTGTCTCAATATTTCGAGTATGGAGTTGCCACAAATTTTTGTGTTCACAATAAAAGGATTTGCCTAGCCACTAGATGAAGCAAAATTAGCAAAAACATGTTTTGTCCATGTTTTATGATTTAAATGGAATTTGGTATGATGACCAATTTTTGGTAACCCTATATGGAAATTTAGCTGTTAATTTTAGCTTTTTTTCTTCTCAGATAGGTATTTATGTTGTAATTTCTTAAAGATAAATTTTATCGGTTTTGAAGTTAAATAATTTGAATTACTTAATAAATTACTTGCAGATATGCAATTATCTTCACGAAATCATTAAAAAAATGTAAAATGTTGAAAATTAAAGAGTAAAAAAGAGTTATAAAAATAAAAAACAATTTACAAAACATCGATTTTTATTTATCCAAAAAAAAATCCTGTTTGAGAACCCTGTACAAATTTTCAGAAATCAGAATGAGTAATTAAGCTTTTGTAAACGATTCCTTAACAAATGATTGTTATATGGGTGGTTAGAAAGTCATCAGATTAAAATCGAAATCGAATAATGTTGAATTTCGAAAAAACTCTTTATTATATTAATTTTCTATAAACTGAAAATTTAACAAAAACAGTAGTTTAAAAAAATTAAGTTGTCTTCTGTACAGGAAAAATGAATATATACAGTGCGTCCCAGAAGTAACGCAAAAAATTCGTATTTTATTTTGTGTTGCGTTTTCACAAAAACGCTAAAACACGTCAATTAGTAAATAGGAATTGTCATTTTGTCACGTTGCTTAAACCGTTTTTGCGCTATGTTTCATAAATCTATAACGTCATCGACATTTATTTTAAATAGCTAATTTTTTTAGCATAAATGGATAGCCCTTTTGAAGGGAAATGCGTCGATATAGGGTTTGGCCTACTTTACTTTGACAGGTGCGAAAAAAAGCCAACGATTAGAATGGACATGGTTTGAAATAACAATAAAAGTAGGTATCACAAACTAATGCGACAATTAGGTAGTGCTATTTAAAAAAAATGTCGATGACGTCATAGGTTTATGGAACATAGCGCAAGAAAGGTTTAAGCAACGTGACAAAATGACAATTCTTATTTACTAATTGACGTATATTAGCGTTTTTGTGAAAACGTAACACAAAATAAAATACGAATTTTTTGCGTTCCTTCTGGGTATATTGTATACTCGAGAAAAGGTAGGGGTTTACCTTTAAGTTTTTGTTCGTGTCTTCTGGCAAACGAGATATCTGGAATCCCTGGTGAATAAATTAAAGGGTAATGGATGATGTTTCAAACCAACATGAATTTCTTTATTCAACACTGATTAAGTAAAAATTATCTTTGCTGAGATGAAGCTGCCCCACACTTTATGTGAACACACGATATATAGATTTATTAATATTATTTCTTTTTAGATTCCTAAAACCTACATTTTAAAGCCAGCAAATATCGTCAGGAGTACTTCTGTGTTAAATGCGGATACACTTAATGACAGCACCACCGGCCAAGAAGTGATCACAGAGGAAGGCGGCATTAAAGAAGTTACAGACAGTGTTGAAAGTGGAGCAAAAGTTGAGGGACAGAATGAAGAACCATTTTTATGTGAAAATTTATTTGACAGTTGTACCAATGGAGAAGTGTTTATAAACGAAATTATATTGGAAGATAATATAAATGAAGTAGTAATGGAACAAAATGTAAATGAAGTTACAATCGATAATACTACGGATTCTACAGTTAAGGAAATTGTATTAGATAATATGTTACATGTATAATATGAATATCCTTTTTAAGTAATTTATAATTAGTATTAGATAGATCAGCTTAATTAGAACTATTTTTAATGTATATTTATATAAATAAAAATTTTAATTTTTAGTGGGAACTTTCTGGTTTATACATTACATTATGTTAGTAATTTATTTTCCAAAACTTGGCAATTTAAATATTAGAAATTCAATGCTTCTAAGTAAATATATTTGTTATTCTTTTCTATACAGGTAGCCTTCTTATAAACAAGCAGATGGTAAATAAAATACATTTTTAAAATTGTAATTTTATACATTATTACAGATCAATTCAATTTTGATACTTGCCTGGCAGCAAATCAACAAAACACATATGTGATGAAAACCTCTCAATATGTTAAGTAGCAGAGTGATTCATGGTAACAAGTGTTAAAAAATGTGGAGGAAGGTACATTATCAAAAATGTTGCAAGTTTGCCTTATAAACTCATGTCTAATAATTAATCTATATAATTAATAACTATTATTATTAATCATGTACAAGTTACAAGTTTTTGAAGTAAAAAATAAATAAATAAGTCATGGCATAGTAATGACATACATATGGAGGGCCCAGAAGCCAAGTAAGTCACTGAATATAGGAAATGAGAACATTGGCTTGTAATAAAATAAATATTTCCATAATACTAATAATTATTTTTATTGAGATATAGGTAACACTTCATACGTTTCAACTTTAAGAAACCTTCAATATGTAACTCAATTTCCAGAGAAGTGACTTACATTGATTGACTTCTGAGCCCTACATATGTAGATTTTTTGGTTAGGGACAAAGCCATTAGACTAAACTTTTTGATATAAGTTTATAATTAAAAATTAAAATTAGAGATAAAAAACATACAAGATATAACTTTTACATAAACGTTTATATTTCGTTGTCTTTGACATTTTATGTTAGTCTGATTAACACGTTTTGCAATGTTATTGATTTATTAAAACAAATTGTAAGTGTCAACACTTACAGTTGCTGTAACGTTTACAGAATAGCACCATTAGTGGTGTATATATAGATTTCTAATCTGTTTCACTCGATAATTTTTGTGTCGGTGAAAACAAACTTTATGCTGGTTCTAAGATATGTTTAAACAAAAGAGATCAAGAATAAATGACAATTTGTTTGACAGTTTACATTATTTACTAGGGCTGTTAGAACCGAGCCACGGGACATAGGCGTACACATGATTTATTAAAAAGCAACTATTAGATTGTCCACAATACACCACTATAAACACCAACGGATAGGAATTAATTACATAATATACGCACGATAAAGCAACAGTACACTAACGTGAAGTGAACATGAAAAGCATTCTGACAGCGGCTCATGCATGTCTTAGTTCACACGCTTAGTACGTCATAGACAGTTCTTTGATTAATGGTTCAGTTTGACTTTCTAAATAAGATTTTCCAGGTTATATTTTTTTAATTACTGACTTACTGTTTCATGTTATTTCTTGTTTACTTATTTTGTCTTGTGAGAGTGAAAAATATTACGATATGTACATTTTTAGCATACCTTAATAACTTTCTAGTAATATTTCATTTATTATCTGCAATTTTTTGTTTTCGTGCTAGTTCTACCATAGGTAAAAATGTAACAGTTTACATCGTCCTCTATTTATTTTTACTTTTACAGTTGGTGCGAACTTTCAGCATGTACTATTAATTTGAATAAAAGATGGAAGTAGCCTCAGTATGTATTGAGTGCAAAATTGAAAACAAATCGAGAACGTTTCATGGGATTTACAGCTTTTCTCAAGTAAATACCATGAAAATCTGGATGAAAACTAAAGGACCTCGCACAAACCTTATGGAAAATGGCTTTCGGTCAAAAGTATTCAACACCCTGTATCTCGGAAACGAAGCGTTCTACGACATATGTTTATAGGAACTTTTCTTTTTAAAAACGTGTTCTATCTCCTGTTAAAGTTTGTCTACAAAGAAACTGACTCGCCCTGCACTTATATTCAGCACCGTGCTATGAAGTCGTTAGCTTCAAAGCTCTATATCTTTAAACCTACACACAAGATCGCTTTGGGCCCACGACAACTTTTACTCAGGAAGGTGAGAGCTATATCATATTTCAATTTCAGCCATTTTGACCGAAAGCCATTTTCCATAAGGTTTGTGCGGGGTCCACCAAAAAATTGAGAAATAATGAAGTTAGCAAAAAGCCGCAAAACTTGACCAGAAGGCAAGAAACCCCGATCCATTGGTATATATGAAATTTAGCAGTTTCACTCCCGAGTATAGGCCCAGTCTCGGTATTTCAATTTAATCCGATCTTCTCAAACATTTGAACTCTGAATATTTTGCCCTTAATTATTATTCGAGTGAATTAACTTTGATTTATTTTTACATTTTTTAAGAGAGCACTATTATATTTTATGTAAATTTAGCTAATGTAGAATCTTTTTCATGAGTGTAAATATTTTCCAAACTGTTAATACAACTGTACATATTTTTAAAACTGTGTGATTATCTGATCCAGAGTCCCTCAAGCTGAGCAACCCATTTTTGACTGAATATCTAAATCAAATTAGCACTACCAAAAATCTAAGAATTTGAACTTTAATAGACTAGAATCATCGGTACCGTCCAATTTGGTGAAAATAAATCAGCACATTGGCCTACATTGCCTGTGTCTTATTTAAAAATAAAATTATTTAAAAACAAAATGAAGTACTCCGAGATGCCACCAACCTCTTGCTGGACTGCTGTGAACTAAAACGGTAAGTGCCAAAGACTCTGCAGGTCATAAAAAAACCTATATAGACTTGTGAATTCAGAATTGTACTGAATTGATCTGAAACTTCAGTTAACTATTTTTAATCTTTGAGTGAACATTTTGAGACTTACATCCTTACTGGCAAAAATTTATTGTCGAGTGATCTTGGTCGGACTTTGAAGTTAGTAGTGTGTTGGCTTGACATTTAACTTTCAGTTTTGTGCATCCATGTACCTATTCTTTTATTAATATCATAAAGGTGTATGTGTATCATTTAAATATGACTTCAAGCAATATTAATCGCTTATGTGCATTAGCACCTACTGACTTGTGACAATTTTACATTCCATTTTCTCCTCTTTGCTTCCCTTTGGACATAAATGTACAGCAGTTTCGTAATGGTTATATATTCTTTGAGGATTACTTAAAATATCAGTTAAGCATTTACTAGATAGCTATAGGTTTCGAGTTTTGCTTTTTGAAACTTTAGCCCAAGCATTTAATACATTCTGAGAGACTCGGCAGCTAATGTTTGGATGGGATCTATTTTTAAGAACGATTCTTACCACCGCTTTCCTGATCTGTTACTGATAAAAGGAGTAAATCATTTCAGATCTTTTTTGAAATGCAATATTGCCAGTGCACTTATTAATTAACATATTTTCAGTACCTACTTTATACATTTTAGATGCTTTGTAATAACTCATCATTTTGTACAGAATACAGGACATCCCCTAAATCTTTTGTAGTATATGCTCGTGTTTTTGTAGGAGACGTATTTCTAAAAAGAATAAATTGAAGGTAACTTCATTATTGACCTATTTCTGTTCTGTTCTGTTGATAGTGTCACTTACAGCTGTATTTTTTTCAAATTATAATAAAAAATGCATAGATCAATCATATTCGCAAATATGTATATGAATGTTTCTATTACTATTTATAAAAAATACACGTAAAATTAGCGTTTAAAAAAAAATTGTTCCAATAGTTGACCAATAAACAAAGTAAAAAAATAATTATTGTATTATGAAAATTATCATAGAACACACTAAACAAACTTTAATTGGATATATTATAAATACAAAATATTTGAAAAGTCAAGATGAGTGATTTTAAATTTATATAAATGTAAAAATATCTGCATTGTATGTCATTGACTAGATAATACAAGAATAATAATAAAAATGTACATTTATGTATTACTTTAAAATATTTTAAAAAAATAATACATACCTAGTTGCAAATATTCTCAAATTTAGATGCACCAACGTCTTTTATATTTATTATGTTATTAAGGAAATATTTAAGCTTTTATAGCGAAGAGTCTATGTTACATGACACTTAAAATTAGAATGAGTCTCAGTCGCCGTTAATATTTGAAATTGAAAATTTTCTTAGATTGAATAAACCATCAGTAGATTGACTGAAGGTCAAGAATGGGCCTCTGCTTTGAATACAAAGGATACAAAATAATTTTTCTGCAATTTTGGCTGTGCAGTAAACATTTAGAAGTTTCTCAAAATATAAAATATTTTCACTGGTGTGATCCGTCAAGTGGATGTGAATTTCTTTTTTTTTTATTGACTGTATATTATACATATTTGAATTCCAAACAATTCTTAGAACAAAATGAAATATTTTTTTCTTATAAATGCTATGTTATTGGTAACGGAGAGCATTAATTTAATTTGCAGAACATTCATTCTGTCAAAATTCCAAGGTTACTAGTGGTACTGATCTCTGCCAGTGGTTAATGTACTTGTAAGGTAACTTAGTGAATTAGATAAATCAGTGCCCTAAATTTCATCAGTCTGCATCAAACTCCGCAAAAATATTTCAGAGAAAGCTATATTTTTTTCCAATTTCAACACCCTGTATTTCAAAAAGGAAGTGAAATACGATCCGCATGGATATACAACTTTATACTTAAAATAATTTATTCTATTGCCTGGTGATGTTTTGCTATTAAAACCTGGATCAGGGTGTTAGAAATAGAACAAATTCATGCAGGAGCTGATAGAGCATAAAAAATAAGCTAATTTTCTCCTGTAGACTGTGGGCCTGTAATCTTTTATTTTTGAGCAAGATGATTTTTTTTAAATCAAGTTTTAGCATATTTTTTCTAAAATACAAAGGAATGCATTAAAATTTAGCTGGATAAGGATGCTAAATATGTTAGTGTTGTTAGTTTTTGAGATCTGCTAGAGGTCATTCAATGACTACATCTTTCTCATTGACTCCAGAATGTCATAATGTAAAATTTCATTTTAAATGAGAGAGTTCTCTTTGAAATTGCAGAAAATGCACCATTTTTTGAGAAAAATTCAATTCCCAAAGTCAACCAGCTTCTTTTCTTTAATATACTGGGTCCCCAAAAATTAATAGATTATACTACGAAGGATGAAAATAAACGGATTTACATCAAGTTGCTAATTTTGTTTCCTTAAAAGGTTAGCAGCCCACTTCTTTGATTTCATTTTAATTAATATGCCATCGCCATTAAAGGAACCGAGACTGTATTAAAGTAATTTTATTTTCATCCAAGAAAACTATCCTTGAGGTTGAGGAATGGTGTGCATCCGTTACCAGACACCTTGCATAGTTAGGGGTAGAAACCAGTCCACTTTGGGACCCTCAAATCAGTTATGTCAAAAGTCACTGGAAAAGGTTCACACTTGAAATAAAATAATAACTAATTCAACAACGGATAAGAAGAATGAGGTCGAATTGTTTGGCTGTCATTTGTTATATTGTTACCCAAAATAAATTAATAAATAATGAAGATAGTAAATAAAATTGCCACATTAAATAATACACATTTATATTACAACTACTACAAAAGATACAAAATAATAAACTAGTGATTTGATTAATAATCATCTTTAAATACTGAATTGTTTAAATTCTACGGTATGAACGTTTTATGTCACAACTTTATAAAAATTTACCTAGATTCTAACAGTCACAATTAAGTTCTTTTAAAAAATGAGTTAATCGTTTTGCTACCACTTGCAGCTTTCAACCTTGCCTTTTCTTTAGAAGATGGTATTGTATTTTTCACTAGTTTTGAATCTGATTTACTTAGGTCTAATACAATTGGAATTGCATTTTTATTTTGTTCAATTTTGACCTTTTTTGCGTCACGTTCTGGTATTAGTAAACTTTTCCTTTTTACACCCAGATTATCTTCAGGAAGATTTAAATATTTAAGTAATTTTCGACTGTCGTTTTCCATTAAATATTCAGAAACAATTCCATGAGCATACCTCAAATAAATATCATTATCTGATATATCTTTTGATGATTTTATACATGTTGAGGAAACTGCTCCACCAGGTGTAACATGAATATTTTTTTGTTGTAATATTTCAGCTACTCTCTCAGTTTTTTTCTTAAGCCATGAGAGTGTTTTTTCTTCATTATATTTGAATGCATTTAACTCTTCATCACCCTAAATCAAAATAAAAAATGTCATATACATTTTATACATATGCAGGGTGTCCAGAAAGGTCATGTCATAAATGAAGGGATATACAGAGGAGGTCAAAGTATATGTAGTACTTCATATAAAATTTTTTCCTATCGGGCTTCGTTGTGGAGTTATTTGCCTTCAAATAAAGAAGTTTTAAAAACAAATTTCAGTTATAACTTCTAAGTCGTTACCATGACAACAATGAAATTTGGTCAATTAAAGTAACTCATGGCAATGTTCATTTCCAAGTTTAAACTGATATTCAGTATGCCTGGATTATACAGGAGCAGACGAAATTATCCACTTAAATTTATATATCTTTGACAGCGTTGTCAAATTTGACATTTTTTTTTCATAGTTCGATTGCTCTCTCACTTTGCTAAAAGAAAAGAAAAAGGTATACCGTATATCAGTCGATATATTGTACTGTTTTTGAGAAAATCGAATTTTATTAACATACATTTATTGTATCAAAAATATGATACTAACATTTTTGTAAAAATTTTGGTTTCTATAGAATTAAGAAAAAGAGAACTGTTAAGTAAGATGTGCACCTTGAATTCAATGCATTTTCTAAAATTGCTCAATCACCTCTGCTTTTCTTGAAATAACATGTGGTAATCATTTTTAATGATATCGGCATATGTAATTATGACATTTAATAATTCTTCCCTGCTAATTATAGGTGTTTGATAAACAATACTTTTAAGATAGCCCCAAAGAAAAGATCGAGATGGGATTAAGATTGGGAGACCGAGGCAGCTGCGGATAAGGACTACCTCGACCGATCCATCGATGGGCAAATGTAGTACTTAAATAAGCCCTGCTAAAATGAGGTGGTGCACTATCAGGCATAAGCCACATGTTATTTCAAATATTTAAAGGGACATCTTCCAATAACCTGTTAAGGTGTTCTTGCAGTAAATATATGTATTTAGAGATGTTTTAAAATCTTATGAGCTTTGACCTTTATATGCGCAGAAACATAATTCCGACCGCCGCCTAAATTATTCTACGTCCTAAAAACATTACACCTATTATTCACAGTCTCTCTCGAGCTCTAGCGTAAACAAGCCTTTGATCCGATTACAAATATCATAATAAAATGCCCTATTCTTTATTATTTTAATTTAAACAATAAAAATATATATAACGAACGTTCGCCAGTTGACTTTATTGATGCCCGAGCGCCTTAGTTCATTTCTAATTTGTAATGAGGCACGTGTTCTAATTCTGAGTCAATGTTTTCACAACGTGCTTATTAGAAGAATTATGGGGATACGCCACGCCTTTCGCGCATTTCGCGGCTCATGAGATATTAAAAGATCTCTACCCCCCTTTAAAGTGTCATTAATGATATGTAGTCCCACTAAGTAGTTTCCAAATATTCCCATCCATACATTATTGATAAATTTTTGTTGGTGTTTTGTCTGAATAATAGCATGGGGATTTTCGTCACTTCAAATATGCAAATTCTATTTGGAAAGCGCTTAGCGTAAATTCGAACAGCTTCAGAAGCTGCAAATTTTTCATAGTTAGAATCCTCCATGAATCAACAAATGGTGTCAAAATAATTTATGACAAATATCTAACTGCTAATTATACATACTTGTTGACAGTGATCTCAATTTCCAAAGAAACCAAAATTTTTACAAAAAAGTTAATATCACATTCTTGATACAATATATGTATGTTAATAAAATTCAATTTTTTAAAAAACGGTACAAGATATCGACTGATATATGGGTATACCTTTTTTACGCAAAGTGAGAGAGGAATCGAACTATGAAAGAAAAATGCCAAATTAGGCAAGGCTGTCAAAGATGTATAAATTTAAATGGATAATTTCGTCTGCTGCTGTATAATCCAGGCATACTGAATATCAGTTTAAACTTGGAAATGACCATTACCACGAGTTACTTTAATTGACCAAATTTTATTGTTGTCATAGTAACGACTTAGAAGTTATAATTGGAACTTGTTTTTAAAACTTCTTCCTTTGAAGGCGAATAACTCCACAATAAAGCCCGATAGGAAAAACTTTTATATGAAGTACTACATCTATTTTGACCTCCCTTGTACACTCCTTCATTTTTGACATGACCTTTCTGAACACCCTGTATAAAATATTGTTGGAACTTTACACGTTGTAATATAAATTCTAATAATGTGCAAGATATTTGAAAAGAAGAGAATCATAACCTAAATTAGTTTAAGTATTATTTTTAATACCAAAAAAAAAATATGAGTAAATTGAAATTCATTCATCAAATATTTGGAATCGTAAATTTACAAGAATTCACTTTGTTTTGATTTCCAAGAGAGCCTTTTATAATTTTACAAAGCACTTAAAAAATATGAAAGCCAGGACAAGAACTGAATATTTAATAATTTGAATTAAACTTAATAAAAATACATTAAATTAAGTTTTTAGAGTAAATTATTAAAACTAGATAACATTATTTAGAATTTATAAATAAAAGCTAGAAATTAATGAAATTGAATTTAGTCCAATCCGCTGAGCAGTGACAAATAAAAAAAGATTGCTATTGTCACATAAGCTACAGTCCGTACAATAGTTGTTGACATAGAATTATAAGAAAATAATAAACTTTAATAATTTACCGGGGTAGGGGCATGCCTTCCCACTAAACATTTTTCAGTTTCTGACATGTTTCAGAAACGTTTCCATTTTTCTTGAAACGTTTCATAAAAAATCCATGCAACGTTCTGGTAACGTTCTAGAAGCCCAAGGTGTCCTCCCCAAAATACGTTTCCAATGAAACGTTTCAAAAAATTGGTTTCAGTAACATTCTTTTTATGTTCCATTTATGCCCTCGATATTTTTGTTTTACACATATCGTTTTAAACATTTTGCATCAATATTCATTATTTTATATGCATCTTACAATTACCACAACTGCACACACTACAAATTATCACATAAAATAGCGTCAAAGTAAAGATGAATAACAACGAAACCAAGCAAACTGACAAACCGCAAACCTAACCTAACATAATACGAATTGAAACGACACACGGGAAACAAATAAACTCGGGCTGTTACGCGCAGTCTACGCAAGTCACGAACATACATTTTTTCTAGACTTGTGTTATAAATATGCTACCACATTTTTTTTTCTAATTATGTCTTTATATAACAAAGGCAAATAAACTAACGCTTGAGAAGGATTGGGGATTGAGAGCAAAATTTAACTAATGCCGAATGCCGAATGTTCCATAAGATAAGCAAAAATAGCAAAGGGTTGTTCGTCTGTTATGTTTCCGAGATCGAAAGGGAATGTTTCAAACTCTCTTCAATTGTAACGTTTCGGCTATGTTTCACTAAATAAGTTTTCAAGTGCTACATTTCTGTAATGAAACAGAAACGTTTCTAGTTAATGTTTCAAATGTTTAGTAAAACATCTCATTTGCAACGTTTCATTTACGTTTCGTGTTTAGTGGGTTGGTATTTTCTGCCAGTCTTCTACCTCGGATGTTGAAGAAAGTGACGCAGAGGTCCTCTTGGAATTCTATCTCAACAAATATCGTACGGGCTATAATTTTTCCAAAAGTTAGTTTTAAAGCAAAAAAGTGAAATGTAAAAGTTTTAAAATAAACCAGGCTATTAGAATATTCAAATTTTGTCAAACAAAAAATTGTAGCAAAAATAACTTATGCTTTTTCAACCCCCTCCAAGGGGCAGAAATTTTTGAAAAATTGTTGAGAGGTTGTACATGGAAATTTTGAGAGGCTGTAAAGGGGTGAACATTTTACTAAGGTCATTCTTTTTAGCTGTAGATTCACCATTTGTGCTACTTCTTTTGAAAACACCTTGCGTGTATATATGTATACAGGGTGACCCATTTTAATGTCCCACCCCAAATATCTCGAAACCCGAGCAGAATGAGGAAAAATGTTTTAGACAAAAGTTATAGGGTTCGGAGGGGGACATACGATGGTGACCTTGAAAATTACCTTGAAGTCGATTTTCAAGGTCAAACGAGGGTCAACTTCGATTTTTCAAATGAAAACCCCTATTTTTTATTGCAGGATCGTATTCTACGGAAAAAATACAACCTTTTTGCAGGAAACTTTTTTTCGAAAATGCATTTTTTCCGAGTTTTTCACGAATTTCGTTCATCATGTTGTTTGAAGTGTCAGATGGATCCTGGCTGGGATTCATGCATTACTCACTGCCTGAGTCTTCAATGCTCGAGAGCAGGGCAACGGAACTTATCAAATTGTCAAATTTTTCAATCGTTCGGTACGATCCAATAATCAGCATTACCGCGAGAGCGAAGAGACCGAGCGAGAACGTGCCATCGCGGAACTCCCGGGCCCCTACCGCATGTTCGAAGACGCTTGAAGATTACATGAGCAGGGAGCTGCTCGCTACCTCATGTGCCCCTACCGATCGCGCTGCTGCCGGAAAAGAGAAAAACAGAAAATAACACAAACTTGGCAAATCAACACACATGAGACTGCTAGAGTTCTCTGAGGAGAGGAACGGGGGCGTGCGTTCCCCTCGATTTTTTGGCAGCAATTTTATCCTTGTCTTGAACTGTTCCTCTCACACCTTTGATTTTATCAGGTGAAAATTGTTTACAGCTATTCAAAATAATAGAGAAACACACGCGCCCCCTCTTCACTTTGTACAGACGATCCTTATGTGTGTTAATTCGGAGAGTTGAAATTTCGCTGTTCCGGATTAGTTACACAACCACCGTTGTATCGAGTACTACTGTTTCTGGTGAAATAATACCTAGTAGACAGTCTGTCCTAGTGGTCAATAGGATCCATCTGTCACTTCAAACAACATGACGAACGAAATTCGTGAAAAACTCGGAAAAATGCATTTTCGAAAAAAGTTTCTATTTTTTTCCGTAGAATACGATCCTGCGATAAAAAATAGGGGTTTTCATTTGAAAAATCGAAGTTGACCCTCGTTGACCTTGAAAATCGACTTCAAGGTCATTTTCAAGGTCACCATCGTATGTCCCCCTCCGAACCCTATAACTTTTGTCTAAAACATTTTTCCTCATTCTGCTCGGGTTTCAAGATATTTGGGGTGGGACATTAAAATGGGACACCCTGCATATGCAGGATATTTCAGTCACAATGTCATTAATTTTAGCCACATGCTCGCAAGGCCTAAAACAGAAAATCGAGAAAAAAATTTCTTCTCAAAATTACCCCTTAATTTGCGTTAACTCGGCGCTCCACTTCGTAATAGGGAACGCGAAGCACAGGCCGGTGGAGTACACGGCAATCGAACGTTGTAGTGAAATAGCTGATTTCCTAGTCGTCGTATCGTCCAGGTTTGCAATTGCTTTCAAAATCAAAAGTGCAATTGATCTCAACTTTATTAAGACTATGGACGAATCAGTGAATTTTTAGCAGTATTTCTCATTTTAAATAAGTAGGTACCATACATGTCTGAAAAGTAATGTTATACTATTGTATAACTTATTAGGTATTCGTACTACAAACTGAATAATTACCTACTTGGACTAAAAAGTGAAAGATACAAAAAGAGGTATTCTTGATAAAAGTTTTTGCTTGTTTAGAAAATACCCATGACGAACTTCAATTTTGTCGTACAGGGTGGGTCAAAAACGCAAAAATGTTATTTTGCGTAAGAGTAAACTTACCTTATTTTGTACGAACAAGGCATTCTTGATATAAGTTTTAACTTGAAAAATAAATAAGAGTCGCTATCAAAAATTCATGGAACAATTTAGCGAATAATTTGAAGGAATAAGTCGGATAGCAATCTGCAAGATAATAAAAAAACTGGTTCGGTTTTAAACCTCAAAAAGAAAAAGAATATGACCATAACGATGCTGCAGTTCTGCAGTCTGTTAGAGAAACTCCTGTGATGTCTCTTAGAAATCGTGCTAAACAGTAAGAAGTTGTGAAAAAAAATCATATTAAGATTTTAAAAGAAAATAAAATATTTCCATTCAAACCACACTTTAATCAAACATTGGAAGAGGAAGATGAAGCGAAAAGACTAGATTTTTGTTTGTGGGTAGGAGACAAAATTTTAAATTGAAATATTGATTTTTATAAGTTTATTATGTTTTCTGATGAATGTACATTTTCTACTATTGAAACTGTAGCATCCCAGGACATCAGGTACCTACCGATCTCTAGAAAACCCTGAATTTAGAATAATGACACCAAGACAATATTTTACAAAAGTGAACGAGTGATGCGCTATATCTGTCCATGACATTATCGGCCCATATTTTTACAATAACACCTGCAATAGGATATCATATTTAGAAATGCTTGATACATTTTTTTAGCGATGAACTCAAAAATTTACCATTGAATTTTTGCCAAAAAATGTATTTTCAACAGAATGGTTATCCAGCACATCATACTCGTGAGGTAACAGAATGGCTTAACCATAGATTTGGTCCAAGATGGATTGGTAGAAATGGTCCAATTTTGTGGCTCCCAAGGAGCCCTGACTTAACCATGGCCGATATGTTTCTATGGGGCCGTTTAAAATAAATTGTTGATTCTACTCCAATACCAAATAATATTGAAATGCTAAACGGCAGAATTACCCAGGCCGTCCGTTCAATATCCCAAGAAGAAATCAGCAATTCCTTCAGATATCTAAGTAAGCAATTAGAAAAATATGTTCCATATGGAGTGGTGCTTTTGAAATTTGATATCTCCATCATATTGCTTTGCTTACTTTTTGAAACCGTGACTTACTCAATTTTCAAGTAAATATTTTTACCAAGAATGTCTTTTTCTCGTATCTTGCAAAATAAGGTATGTTTACTATTAAGCAAAATTTTAGTTTTTTAACCCATCCAAGTTGGTCATGGTGATTCATATTTTCTAAACAATTAAAAACTTTTATCATCTTTTTTTTCGTATCTCTCACTTTTTGGTTCATTTGTCCTCTTGTAAACTCGATCCGCGGACATACTGTATATAGTACTAAAAACTCATATTCAATTAATTATACAATAGTGAAAACGTTAAGAATAGGTATGAAAGTTAGGTTAGTGACAGAACAGTAAGGTAGGTCAAAATTCACTCTTGATTAAGTCAGCAGGGCCGCTCCGAAAAGGGGTTTAAATAATTATTTGAAATTTTTTTTTCAGCATAAATATGCTGATATTTTTTTAATTGTGTATTCATATTCTACACATTTTTCCCTGTCTTCCTTTAAAATTAATGACATTATGACTGAAACATCCTGTATATATAAATTACAGTGGTTTCGAAGAATATTTATAACTGTTGTTGTATTGGATAGTTTAGTATCACTTAGAAATACAACATATAAGTATGTACATACCTTTCTATCAGCTATCATAGTCAAGTATTTTAATCCACTAGATTTTAAAAGTCTTTCAGTTTCTGGAAATTCTTCATCATGCAGAAGTTGCTTCAAAGGGATAGCTTGTGTCATACAATATTTCTTTAAATATGGAAGAACTAGAAAATATATATATATATATATATACAAGGTGATTCAGTCATAACGTCATTAATTTTAAGGGAATATAGGAAAAAATGAGTAAAATAGGTACACGCGATTAAAAAAATCTTAAAATGCATATTTACACTGTAAAAAAATATTTTCAAATCGTTATTTAAACCCCTTTCCGGATTGCTCCTGACCGCTGACCCACACAGGTTTATCGAAAGTGAATCTTGACCTACCACATTATTCGGTCACTAACCTAGCTCTTATTGCGTTTTTAATCTTTAGTGAACGGTAAGAAAAAAAAAGATCATTTTACCTAGACACATGCAAAAGTATAAGAATAATAAATGTTTTAGAATGTTAGGTTTGTAATTTAGTATTTTTAATATTGCTAACGTTTTCACTATGTTTTATAACTGAATATGAGTTTTTAGTATTATGTTCAATTAATTATTCAGTTTGTAGTACGTATACTTAGTGACTTATTGCTTTTCAAGAAGTAGTATGGTACCTACCTATTTAAAATGTCAGTAAGGCTAAAACCACACTCATCCGTCCATAGCACTTTGTTAATAAAGTTGGGATCCGATGCACTTTGATTTTGAAACCAATTGCAAAATTCAAGACGACCAGGGAATTCAGCTGTTTCGCTTCAACGTTCGAACGCTCTATGGTTCCCAGTCAGAAAATGTGAAAGTGAAGTAATGTGCCGATTAGCGGAAGTTAGAAGGTAATATGCTTACCTTTTAAAAGCCTGAAAATTTTTTTTTCGATTTTCTGTCTTTATTAGGCTTTCCGAGTACATGATTAAAATTAATGACGTTATGACTGAATTACTCTGTATATCTGGCTTGTATCAGCGAAATACAGCGTTGAACTGTTTTCCTAAGTACAGTTCTGAAATCACAAGAAAACTTCAAGTAGCTTCTCTCTATCTCCCTTATAGTGTTGTATGTGGTAGTAATATTGTAATTCCTATGCGATTTTGTCAGAACATTCCTATAGAGCAGAGAATAAATTTTGATAGATATTCTGTTCGTCTTTTTTATGATGGCTTTATGATAGCTCGTTCAAGATTCCTGTTTGTAGATCCATTATCTCAAAGATCAGATCGGAGGTACTGTAGTTCTTCGTCTAAGTGTTCCAGTTCGGAGATGGCACGTGTTTGATGTACTAATGCATGTGGATTGGCTTTCTATAAACGTCGTGCTCTCCGGTGTTAAGGTTTTATTTTTTTAATCTCCACGATAAAACTAATATCGAAATATATTCCATTGATGTGGTTCAGAAATGCTTCCTTGCTATAACAATGATTGAACGTAACATGAACATAAGTTCATAGGGCCAGATAATAAATGTATTGCCAAAATAACTAAACCAACACTTTGGCTTTAGAGTTGCTGACTTTCTTAGGGAGAGCTTAAGCGTAGATATTTACCAAAGCTGGGAAATAAAGGCGGTCTTTCTTAAGTTCCTGAAGTGTCAAATTGACTACCACAGGTGTATATATTTTGAAAGCAAAACATTTTAGCATTTAGTAAATATTATCTCTTGGGCCCTCCTAGACTCTCTTCCGATGTCTTGAACCTATGGCAAGATATCAACTAGTCTTTTCAAATCTACAAATCGGTTCAGTTCCTTGAAAAGAAAATGTTCATATACAAACATAATTGTCAAAATTGCTTTTCAGATAATATGTAGTCAACTTCTCCCTCTATGACACACTGATGAGGACTAATAAGTCCGAAACCGGTTTNCAATTTTTAACATTTAAAACAACTAATACAGTAAAAAGGAGCCATGCCTTTGAAATGTGAACTATTTTTTATAACTATCAGAACCAGTTTTTTTTTTAAAAAACATCTACTAATATTCAAACTAGTAACGACCAATGATGTTAAAGAAACAACAACAGGGACATTTAGCATTACCAACCACAGTACCAACTCAACACAAGGCGGCAATTCAATCCAAATTTGAAAAAAAATCCGCCGATATCGAAATACCAAAATTTTTGGTTTAAACCTGTTGAAATCCACATTTGACGGTATATGCGCTAGTGTTATTCAACAGAAAACGTTGATACGGAAGTGCTCTACCAAATGTTACGAGCTCCTTACACAAATTTTAAAATGGCGACCTCAAAATGGCGCTTATATCAGCGAAATAGCTCGATTTTGGGTCAAGATCTGCTAATAACGCCATTTAATTGCGGTTAAGCTCATGCTATCTAACTAGAAACGTTCGTATGCAAGTGCACTACTTAATATTATATGCGCCTTACAAGTTTTCAAAATGGCGCATTCAAAATGGCGCCTATACCAGCGAATTAACACGTTTAAGGTCAAAATCTGCTGAAAACGCCAATTGATCGCTTCCATTGTCTCACTAAAAGTATTCCTTGTGTAACGCATCAGCATATGCGGTATACTCTCTTTAAATTTAAAAAATGGTGACTGCAAAACGGCACCGATATCGGTGAAATAATCTCTTCAAACTGAGTATAAACTTTTTTCAAAATAATAACGCAGCCACACAAAAAAAAGTAGTCCGTACTTTTCATGCGACATATGTTATCAGTAGTATTTTTGCCTCGTGATCACGAATCCGGTGTCAGAATTGAGCTATCACATTTCAGGAATTTCCTAACCTCAAAAAACAGGTTAAAAATAGCAAAAATTCACGAAAAAGTGCTAGGAAAACTAGAAAATTTTTTTTTACTATATTCAAATGTTCATTTATATAGTTAAGACCACGCCGAACGTGAATTAGTGGTCAGAATTGATGGTTCTTTTTCTAACCTCAAAAGTAACGGGTCAATTAAGGTCAGATATCACGAATTTTCAAAAAATAACAAATCCGCGCCAAATTTGGTATGCAGGGGTTGTCGAGGTCGCTGATCACGGATCCGAGGTCAATTTTGCGAAAATTCCAGATGGCAGATCCAAGATGGCCGACCAAATTTTCAAAAAATAACAGATTCGCATCAAATTTGGTATAAGGGGGTTTTCGAGGTCGCTGATCACGAATTCGAGGCCAATTTTGCAAAATTCAAGATAGCGGCCCACCAAATTTTCAAAAAATAACACATTCTGATCACGAATCCGAGATCAGATTTACAAAATTCAACCCGTGAATAGATCTTTTACAGAAAAAAGAACAAGATATAGCCATAGGTGAGACAACCGACGACCGACCCAGCTGTTATAGTGTCGTGAAATCACAATACAGAAGTCGGTTGTCTCACCTATGACACACTGATGAGGACCAATAAGTCCGAAACCTGTCTGTGTCTGGTGGGTTAAACTGACGTCCTAGCTGTTTTTCTACTAGGTAACACTTGTTTTCGCCATCTAGGCGACTAGTCGTGTGACAAAGTGCCTGGAAACAGGCCGCTTGTTACCATAGCAGCCATCAAACTGCTTGGTAGGAAGTCAGCACGACAGATGGAGCCATTGGTGCTCCGCGTTCTCTGTACTTCTATATATATATATATATATATCGGTCGTCGGATTGTCTCGCCTATAATACACTGATGAGGACCAATACGTCCGAAACCGGTCTGTGTCTGGTGCGATCCTAGCTGTTTTTCCACTAGATATATATAAGTAGGTATGGCGACGGTTCAGCCTGGGAAAATTTCGGGGACCGTGGGAAAGTCGGGGTCCTTTATCGGCATAGACCAAAGGTCGGCGCCGCATAGGTGTTAATTGGATTTATACAGGTGTGTCCTTGGTGAATATACGGGGGGTCCCAGGTTAGCAGTAAATTATAATTTAAGATCAACAAAAAATAATCAATATATATTAAAATCTGATAGCTCCGTCTGCGTCGCACTATCGGCCCGAAAAAGGGCCGACTTTGGATTGCAAAGGCTTCGCCCCCGGATCGCGNTAATAGATTATAAGCGATTTTGGTGATATTGTGATCAGACTATATAACTCAACCAGAAAAAGTGTCATTTTAGTGATTTGGAATATTTTTTGAGGTTAGGTACGACTAATGACTATACTCAGCGGTCGAAATTATAAAGAGTGACTCATCGCTAGCATTTGGACTAGTAAGGGGGATGAAGCGTGCCGGGAACGAAAATCCATTGGCGTGTCTGCGTAAAAGGCAACAAGATATAGAAAATATTGAAAAAAGATAATAAAACATAACATCTAATATTTTTTTACGGTTTGCTATAACCGGCACTGATTCATTTCAATCATTACAGCATTTTAAAACGTCCCAGTTGTTTTTTTTTATTTATAAATTTATTATAGCCATGGAATTAGACCCCTCGTCTACGCTTATGCTATGAAGTTTCTCAGGACGGATAAATCAAATCCGTTTACATCCACTAAAAAAGCATTTCCCTATTCCCTACCAAGTGCAAAAGACAGAGATAGAATATAGATCGACGTTCAGNCTATAATAAAACTGATAGCTGTAACATAAAAATATTACATTACTAATGCATTAAACCTTAGAAAAGGGATAAATAGTAACAACAGGACTTACCTGAACAAAATTGAATACAATTTAATCATAGTTTTAAAAAATCTCCAAAAATTTGATGAGCTCAAACAAAGTTATAAAAACAAAACACAAAATAACGCAACACACACTACATAACACAAAAATGGCAAAATTAATATATATATGGGACGTTCTTTGTCAAACGGAACAAAGCTCTGCCCAAAATTTGAGCAAATGGATTTTAATGATCTTGGGCTTAAAATGGTCGTTATTGAACCCTCTTCATAGGCCAGTGTGGCCTTTTCAAAAAATTCAAAATAGCGGTTTCAAAATTGGTTTTGAAGTAAAGCGTTAGCTAAAAATAAAAAATGCTTCAGAATTCAGTGGGTTATAGGTGCACAATGTTTGTTATTAACAGGCCTAAAAAGTTGAATAGGTAGGTAGGCGAAATCCAACATGGCGGATCCAAGATGGCGTCTGAAACTGAAAAACCATCGAAAATTGATAATCAAGACCAAAACTTATTATTTTACCGTTTAAACTC